ATAGAGCACATTGGGACAAACTCCATGATAGCTGATCCTCTTACTAAGGGATTGCCACCCAGGGTCTTTCATGAGCATACTGCTCATATGGGGTGTGGTATTATTTGAGGATATCATGATTTAGTGGGAGTTTGTAATTATGGTGCTTTATATTTGGTTGTATTATCTGATCAGAATAAAGTATTCAGTTAAGACACTCTGTTACATTATGTTTGGTTTTGACCTCACTAAAGGAGGACCAGTTGAAAATAGACATGTATTGATCATATTACATGTAATTTTTATGCTGCACATCCATGTTTGATCTATGTCGTTTGATTGTATTGGTATATGTGATCATTGATGGGTTTAGTTACGATAAATGTGACGAAGACCGCTTTGATCCTATATTGATATAGTCAATGGACGAGATTGTTCGGAAATACCTTTTTCAATGATAGCAGTTTTTGAGCTCATAATGTTATACACAGTTTAAGGAATCATATGGTGCCCAAGTGGGAGATTGTTGGATTTAATCTAATAAATCTATTTGTGGGCACATATGATTAATCAATGTGTATTGCTATCTTTCAGAATAACCCACTAAAGTGATCAATTAATTTGGGTTAATGGGTATTTAAAATAAGTTATGGGGATATATGCAGATACCAGGTTGTAACTGTAATTTGATGAGGGCCCAAATTATAAATGTACAACACCTATATATATAGGGTTATGGTCCTTAATCTAGGGTTAGCCACTCTCATTCTCTTATCCCCATCTAAAGAGATCCATAAGAGAGAAACCCCAAGGTTAGAAGATCTTCAAAACCCTAATCAAGTTTTCTTCAATGGATTCAGGTATATGCTTCCGCACCTTTTGATTCTTGTTAATCTCTTTGAATTAAATCATGGATGTATGGTTTAGATCTCAAGTTTTATTATTCAGATCTAACATATTTGAGTAAACTTCGGAAGCGAAATATATCTAGACCGTTATAGTCCAAACAATCAGCAAACTCAGATCACAACCGATGGCTTGGATATGCATTACGTCAGCAACACATCAAAATACACAGAAGCACATCAAAATACACCGCCGGATAGGGACACGCTAGCTCTGTTTACTCTTGGTCAGTTTATGCGGTGTCGTCTCGCTCCATCTCATAGGCTAGCAAGGGGCTCCCTTTGTTGGATAGGGATGAATGGATTCAGCACAAGACCATACTTAATCCTGCCTTCCACCTTACATAACTGAACGTCACCATCCATTCTCTATACTTTTTTACGCGCGATTTTTACCTACATTACTCTGCAAAGTTACACTACAGTGCTTCCGTCTTTTGTGTGTCGAATGTGATCTTAGGAAACTACGTATCTTGTTTTATCTCAACTTGTGGAATAACTGCATGCAATAGGATATGAGACAAATCAAGGCATTTAGTTGCGAGAATGTGGTAACTATGAGCATGCTGTAGATTAGGGGATGGTGTAGTTTTGACTAGGCTCTCTTAAGAAATTCACCACAGGGGGACGCCATGGTATCAGTTACTGAGCCTCATAATCCTGTAGAAACTTTCCAACTTTGAACATGCTGTGCATTTGGATTCCAAGTGAGAAACCTGAAAAGTTTCGCGGTTTTTGCCTATGAAGCAAATTTTTCGGCAGATTCCAGCAGAGTGGTTTCAGTTTCACACGCCACAATCACACCTGAAGAATGTAGTCTAAGCTCGAATAACTATTTCACGACTCATCTTCGTTTCTAGTTTTTACTAATAAGTGTATCCTAATCGCAAGACATGGTGCCATCATTCTGCACAAGCTGTAGCGATATGATTGAGAGGTGGAAGGATTTGGTTCTTGACGGAGCAGCAGTTGTATTGGATGTGTGGATTGATCTCAAGAACATGGCTGCAGGTGTTATCTCCAGAACTGCCTTTGGAAGCAGCCATAATGAAAATAAAAGAATTTTCGAGCCACAGGAACAGCAGCTTGAGCTAGTGATGCTGGCACATAAGCTTCCTCATAATCCCCGATTCAGGCGAATTGTATTCCGTTGTGGACTAAGAAGTCAAAATAGTAAGTCTTAAATTCTAGGCTCAATTGCATACAAACCCCTGTAGCATCGTTACTTTGCACTTATTATGCCTGTAGTTTCTGCTGCAGATAGACCTCCCAGGGTGTTATGGTAATTCACCATCTAAAGATAAAGATATCGAGAGATTATCTTCATAGGCCCAAAAGAGCTATGGTCCAAACCAGCTTAGCGGCCCAAAAGCCCAGTCAAGAGCAAGTCTATCGGCCAGCCGAGCAGACGAGTCACCTTTTGACCGAGAGTCATCATTACTGACTCGAAGTACGGGATCAGTCGGTCCCTCGTAATCAAGACGACTCCTCGAGCAGACGTCTCGATCATCCACTCGACCAGAAACTCACTCGACTATCGGGTCGGCAAATCATAATGATGACTCACAGATCAACCCGCCTCTACTAAGGGGATAAGATCCAGCTAAGCTCCCTCCAGATATCGATCAACACTACAGTATTGATCAGTCCCATCAAGATCTCCACTCTGACAGATCTCGTGCATAAGCCGCTTATTCTACTCACGAGTCACTTCCCAAAGATCGCTATGATACTTTCCTGTATTCGAATGACTTCCCTTCCAATCGTCAGCCGTCATCTGGAGAAGGAAGGACGACCAAGCAGCCGGCCTATCCTCCGCCCTATCTCATCTATTAAATCCAGGATACTGAGAAGATATTTTTCTCCTGTACTCGAATGACTTCTCTTCCAATCGTCAGCCGATATCTAGAAAGAGAAGGATGACTCAACAACCTGTCTGCTCACCCCTCAGTCGTCTTCTATACATAGTCAAAACCAAGGGTCAACCTCGGGGAGGCGATGGACTATAAAAGGAGGGAAGGAAGGTAAAAAGAGGGGGATTTGATTTCTGCTACTTCTTGATAAAAGCTCTGAATTTACATTTGCTAAAAAGAACTGATAGCTCTTAAAGAGTATCCGAAGGACCTCAATGGCTCAGGGACTCTCCCTCAAACCCCACTCAAGCTCACAAGCTGATTTGACCGTCGGAGGTACCACGGGAGAAATGAGCCTCGCCCTCCTACGGGTTTCTTCTTCTTCTTGGCTGTGCAGGAGGTGCAAGCATTCTTCTTGCCTGTGTTACAGGACCAGATCCCCATTATTAAAGGTCGGGCATAAAGTCGTAGGAGAAGTCGGCATCGTCTCCCATCCTCTTCCTTTTCGTCATCATCGCAAGGATCGAAGCCGCATCCGCCGGCGAAAATCCCTCATCGGTTGTGTGATATCAGACATCAACACAGGGGTTAAATGTTTTTGACGCTTTTACCCTCAGATAGACTCCCTAATTTTACCTACGAACAATATCTACCAAAAGTTGATCCTGGGTAAAAGAGTTAAAAAAATTTAACCCAAGGGCCTATCTACAACAATGAAACTACAAGAGTAGTACGTTCAGAACAGCGATAACAGGGGGCCTACGTGCAATTAACCCTAGACATTCAGATATTTATAATTACCTCACCATCATTAATCACTATATATCAATGCTTAGCTAGCTACTAGAGGAACTTAGGAACAAGAATCTTTCATGCGTGTCCTTAAAACTTATCCGTCGATTTAGGTTAACCTGAGAAGATCACGAATTAACAAAGGAGATCAAAATTATGCTAAGAGATTTGTTTCAGAAGAAGGAACTTGCAACGGAGCAAGGAAAATGTGATTGCAAGGACTTAATTAGGCTTGATGCTGAGCACCAACAAGCAAAGCACAAACAAATATGAAAGGTCTAAAAATTGATGAAGTGATGGAGGAACGCAGGCTATTTTACTTTGCTGGCCATGAGACTACTACTGTGATGCTCACTTGGACAATGGTGCTCTTGTCAATGTATCCAATTTGGCAAAACCGAGCAGGAGAAAAAAATGCGAGAGAAATGTGGGAGAGAGATGCACGATTATGAAAGCATTTGCCAACTTAAAGAATATTGTTGACTACCTAATTCTAAATCTAAATGAGGTAACTATTGGCATGCTGTTGATCGTACTCCTTATTGAATTTCATCACATAAATTCTCATCGCAGGTATATGTACTACATGAAGCTTTAAGGTTATATCCCCCAGTGGCTGGTCATATATCGACACCTCTACAACGAAACAAAACTCGAAAGCATCTCATTTCCAGGCGGTGTTGATATTATACTACCAACAATATTTATCCACCGTGATAACAAGATTTGGGGGGGAAGATGCCAAAGAATTCAAACCTGAAAGGTTCTCAGATGGAGCGCTGAAAGCAACAAATAATCAGTTTGGCTTTCTTCCCTTTTGGTTGGGGACCAAAAATCTGTATCGGGCAAAATTTTGAGCCAATAGAAGCAAAGATTGCGATGATACTGCAACATTTCTTCTTTGAGCTCTCACCCTCCTACGTTCACTCTCCTTTCGGTTTTATTATCGTTCAACTGCTTGTTTCACTCAGTCTTCTCACATTAGAGACATACACTCATTGTTTCACTCAGTCTTCTCACATTAGAGACATACACTTGTATAAGAAATTCGTTGATTCGTGCCTGCTGGTATCAAACTGGGAGTGTACTAGCGATTTGAATAAATTGTAGATAATAACATACATTTATCCTGGCGCTTATTGTACTCAACTTTCCTCTAAATCCCGGTGAAACGCTACCCAACCTTAAACCGGTTTCATTCCTGGAGCCTTGATTCTTGCTGCAGCTACAAGATACGCATTCCTTGCTTTACTCTCGAGAAGGAATATTCCTTACTTTATCTCATAAGATTGCTCCTGTGGAAATGTGCCTTTCCTTCTTTCTTTTAGCTGTTCAATAAAAGTTATCCTTCCTGATCTTTTCTATTATATATATCTTCCTGCAGCCAACCCAGCGCCCCTTCAACAAAGAGGGACTAAGAAATTATGGACGTACAATACTTTCTTCATGCAGACAACGGTTAGTCCTCTAATTAAAGAAACAGATATCCACTGGCACTCTCAATTTCCATTTCATCAAAATTCAGTACCCCCATCTCATACACACATCTCTGGAAATGCAAAAGTAAATATTTGAGAAGAAAAACCTCTTCTCCATATAAAATTTGGAGACATCCAATAGCGTACGCATCGCATCAGACATCACCTTCAATTCCTAGAATTTGATGATATATATTAACCACAACAAAGAAAGAAGTCCCCAGCTCCAAATGCTTTTATTACAAGTTAAACCAAAGGCAAGCGGAGCTTAAAACAAATGGGGAGAAAATTTGCAGATTATACCAGCGCCTACCAATATTTTGTCCATAAAAGCTAGGCAAAATCTTAGAGGAAGTTCCGAATGTCCAGAGACTTCACATCAACCATCTGCTCATCCTTGAATTCCTCCCTGAGTATATAAATCGGAGGAAATTAAAATAGTAGTAAAAGCAGATGAGCACATACACCTCCATTAAGTTATAAGAAAAATTATTTAAAAATAAATATAATTGCTTATTAGTAACTGAAACACCAAAATGTCAAACAATGCAAGATTGTATGCAGGTAAAAGATGTTAATTTTTAGTGTTCATACAAACCTTTTAAGTTGAGTCTCCATCGCCTCAACAGCAGCTTTCTTAATCTCTTCCAGATCTGCTTTAGCAATTTTGAGTTCCAATTCCTCTTCGTATTTGGGAAGATCTTCCTTCCGAATGCCAAGCCTAATTTAGAATTTCACGGTAAAGCAGAGTGAGATTGCAAACTGAAGATTGTACATGAATGAAGTGGCACATGAACAGAAACTGTATAGCATTATATAACTGCTAGTAATTTTATCTGAAATTAAACTGTCTTGTGTGTAGTAGAAACCTACAAACTGAAGTGCTCAAACTTGAATGGAATAGTTCTATTGTAAATGGTGATTGAGCGAACAGTATGATTTCTCTAGTTTATGCTTTCCATGAACTTCAATTATTATGGAATAGGAGAAAACAGATACTTAACTATATAATGGTTAGAGCGAAACGAAATGAACAAATGAGCAACAATAAAGAGATCTTTCTAGGGCCCTCAAAGAGTGTACTTACTTTTTGTTGATTTTATCAAATTCAGCATGAAGGAGGGCCATGTTCTTCTTATCAGACCTCAGAAGTGGCTTCTTAATCTCATTCTCGATCTTATCCAATGCTTCCATCATCATAGCTTCAGCACCAATGTTATCAACGAGGCCGCTCCTAAAAAAAGAGAAGAATATTGGAGTGTTAAATAACCAGAAAAACATGAGAAGTGACTTAACAAAAATAAAAACTATTTCTTCAAGAAATCCACAATAATCGGTGTTCAATTCTTAGAGGCAGTCTTTCATTTAGCTAATGTCTCTATATTGCTACGCAATGTGAATCAGCCTTACACTGAACTTGTCTCAAAGAGTAGAACATATTTAGCGGGTATTCTTATACAAACATGGGCATTCTTGGATCATCAAATAATAACATTGGCTCAAATTTAGAAGAATCAGAGTCTTCCATTTAGCTAATATCTCTATAAAATGTGAATCATCCTTGCACTAAACTAAACTTGTCTCAAAGAGTGGAACATATTTAGCTGGTATTTTTATACAAATATGGGCATGCTTGGATCATCAAATAATAACATTGGTTAAAAAGAAGAATCGGAATCACCATAGAACCACAGCGACTGCAATATGTTTTAAAACAGAGTCATAGAGGAAAAGTAAATGAAGTTTGGTTTGAGCGAAACTAACCTTTTTTTTGGGTGAGTGTTGGTTTTTTTTTTGTGGGGGGGAAGGGGCATAGAGCGTGAAAACAGAACAAAAACATCTGAACTGACACTAGAAACTGGCTAAGACCGGCCACAAATTTCTACCTGCCAATCCTCTCTCTCACATTGATATTCTACTATTCTGCCGAAATCTGAACTATGAAGTATACTCCACCATGAGTCTAATTTCTAAATATTTTGACCTCAATTTATGTGACAGCTAAAACTTCTCCAGAAAAATAATGCTAACAAGTTTTGCATTCAATATAGAAGTTCTAACCTAGAAACTAATAACTGAAACTTCACTGGACACCTAATAAAGTGAAATGGCTGAATAAAACAGTCATTGTGATACTGGGCTGATCATTAGTTTTTTACAAACATATATAAACCACTAACAAACTAAGATTCCCTTTTACCTAGAAGTTTTGAAAGAAAATCGCAAGCTAACATAAGATATTCACTAATCATTACATAATTAGTTTAACTAGAATAGAACAATTATACAAACTTTCTTTGGAATAGGAACCACCGCATTGCATCATATTTATGAGGAACAGATGTCTCATATATCTAAACGGGACAAGTATAGGCAACAATGCAAAGCCTGACAAACATTTAAAAGTATATTACAGTAGTACATACTTGGCTCGTACATCCTTCAGTGTCAACAAGTAAGTTCTGGCATCAGGAATTCCTTGTGTCCGTTGTTCGATGGTGTATTTAAACTTTTGAGATTCTGAGTACAGACCAGCCCTGCACAAGGAACAAACAACTTTAAAATCACATACTTATATCACGTTAAACAAGAATATGGTGGAGTCATATAAGTCATACTAGATTGATAAATCAACAGTGCCCTGATATAGAATAAAAAACATTGAAGTTTAAATGAGGTACAAACTAACACCTCAAAACCGTTAAGGTGCCAACGAGATGTCATAGCAAAACAATTAGCAGAGGACAGAGGACATCAGAATCATCTTCTGTAAATTTAAATAAACCAATATAAAAGATTAAAAAAACTCTTAACACCAAGCATTGACCAGCACTACATTAAGGACATGTAACTCAATTCAACGACTGGAATCATGTGTCGTCAAAAGAAATATCAAGAATGTACCAGCAAAAGAAGAAATTTTTGAATTGTAGTTGTTTCTTTCACCTAGCTGCATAAGGTTTGCTGACTGACTGGCTTTATGGGATCAAACATCATTCCAGGAGGTAAGCACATAAATATGAGACATCGTTTTGCTATTATAACCACCAACTAAACCAGGTCCTTGTTTTTGAAAGTAGTATCTGAGAATTGCAGTTCTTGATTCATGAGTATACATATAAACCTTTGTCTTCTTCACTCAGCGGGATTTTTTTAATAAGGTTAACCAAGCCTCTTAGGGCCCAGAAATGGCCCCCTCTGCCAGAACCATCAATTATTAGGGGGGAAACCCCCAACCAACCCATTTGAGATACATTAGTGTGTACTTTTACTGTTATTTGTCAACGAGCATGAGGATAAACATATACCCACAGTTAAAATCTATTTCCCATGGTATACAGGCTGATTAAGATTGCGAAGGAAAAATCATGATGGAATAATATTTGAGAAAGAGAATGCATGGTGGAAATGAAACATGTTAAATCACATTCTAGATTTAACATATACACACCTGTTATAGGCCATGTTAACAATTAGAAGAGAAGTCAACATTTAATTGCTGCTGCTCTTGTCACGGTAATTTTTGCTTTTTACACAATTATTTGTGCTTCCCTTAAATATTCATTTTAAAGCATTTGAGATTATTATTACTATCATGCATAACAGTTCAGATTCTTGCCCTTTACATGCACTAATGCATATTTCCACATTGACACGAACCTAAATTGCACAATTAATGGTTTTTCAGGGGAAATGCTTATCAATTGTACAAATTAAAAGAAAATCTTGCAAGGAGAGGATGTTAAAGGTGAACAACAAGATGCGAGAATTACATCCCAAGTACCTAAAATGAAAATCAATAGCTTGAAATTTGCTCATGAAAGTCAAAAAAGAGGAATAGATCCAAGGAACAACGCAAACAAATAGCAAATGCAAGCATAACATACAAAATTTTAAATCTAAACACCAAAATTTGGGGATTGTGAAAGCATCCTGTATAGGTCTAAATAGCTCTGTATTGAAAACATGCTGATTTTGGGACCAAATGTTGCACAAAGTGGGAAAATTTAACTCAATTATTTTAGGATTTACAGCAATATTAAAATCATGATCAATTGCATGATGTGCATCCGCAACAAAATGTTAGTTGACAGTGTAACCAGAAAATGGAACTACAAGCAGGGAAGCACCCAAACTTTTCGATTTGATGAGAGGAATATTGAATAAGAATGACAAACTCATACAAATGGAAGGATTAACCATTTTGGCTGATGAATTCATTAGAACCTAGAAATGACTTACTTTTCCCTTATGGTCTTCATAACATTCCCATACTGACTCACTGCAGCAGGATCATTGGGATCAATTGTGATCTTTTCTTTCCGAAGTATCCCAACGGCCGTCTCAAACTTGTTCTTCACCTCATAAAAGATGTTCTTCAACATCTCTTCAAGAAAAATGTATTCCATTATCAATAACGTGGCATGTAAAGATACAAGATGAATTGAATTCAACCTAGGTCGACTGCAATACATAATAAGAGAAAAAAAAGACAACAGAGAAGAAGAAAAACTAATGTAACAGGACTCAATTTCTCATTGCAAAGTGACAAACCAGATTGGTATATTGCATTCACATATCAAGGAATAGTGTAGGAAAACCTTCTATTTTATTTAGGAAACTGTTGAATATATAACAGCTAAGTTCATGACATAATATTAAAATAGATTTCATCTAATCTCAAATTAAGCAAGGAGTAATATGATAACAATTCCCACGGTTTCTAGTCACAACCTCTAGTTCAAATTTCGACTCTCCAGCTTTAGTGTTGCTTTTAGTTATAACAAATATAATTAATTGGGAGTAAATAGTGTACATCCAACTGATAATTAAGCTACAAATAATATGCAACAACTTGCTATACCTTGAATATTCATGAGTGTTTTGGCATGTGCAATTAGCAGTGATACTCTACCCTTTTATACAAGAGAGTTGAGCAATGAGGATATTTAGATTATTAACTGTGTATAAGTACTGTAGACAGTCTTCTTTTCCAGTTGTCGATGGTTGCAAATGAATAGGCACACAGGAAAAGGCAATAAATGAAACTTTTGAGGATAGACCCATGGGTCATTAATAGGGGCATAATAACAGTCTAGCATGGCTGGTAGAATTAAGTGTATGGTCAATAATCTAATTACAGTTTTGAAGTAAGTGAAAATTTTAAATGAATTGTTGATAATGAATTCTCTGTTTGGATGGTTGGGATAATTTAGAACCACAGATTTTACATTACAATAGTAGAAATTTTGCTCATGCCAATTACAACCGATTAAATTACATAAAAGAAAGCTTAACGCGAGTTTTACAATTCCATTACTAGTTTAGTAGTTCATACGCTTCTCTCTCCCCCTACAGGCCTCAATTACAAGGATTTCACTTTTAGGAAGGAAATTGTTCTTTCCTATTTTTATTCAACTCCAAAACAAAACAAAAAAATTGTCTATGATGTAATGCAGTTCTACAAAATAAAAAAATGGAAGTTTGGATCAGAACTTCATCATACATAAGCATTGTTTCTTTAATGGAAATGCAAAATACAATTGTATACACACATCAATAAGCTTGAAGTATATGTGAAAATACATTGCTGATCAACATCACCAGACAGAGGTTCATACATTAATCAATAAAAGACACCAGTTTGCAACCCACACAACAAAGAATGCCATCACACAAAAGGGGATTGCAGATAACTAGTATCTCACCAGTGAAGGTATCACTATGTAGACTATGTGCAGATAAGTTCACCAGCATTGATAAGCGCAGATTAATTTAGCATCTTGATAAACAATATTTCCAAACGGAACACAACAACTACACCTCGACTAAACACGCTGCCGTTACTTGTATGCATGCAATCAAATAAACTTAATATGCTTCTAATGGCAGAAATATGCTAACTTACAAGGTATAAACAAATGTAAGACCATAGTCATTTAGCAATACAAACTACAAGTCTCGAGATTTGAATTATAAGTCATGAAATTTTCAACTCAATAATGCTTTTTTATCTACTTACCATCTCCCTTAAGGGGTGGGAGCCCAGCTGGAGAAGCTTCTTTTGCATAGTAACGAACTGGTGCCCTATGCTCGTGTTGTAAAAGGATTTGACTGCCATATAACTGCAAAAATGAAAAACACGTTTTTTAGCCATAAATGAAATGAGCACATTTTCAAAAACAATCATTACAAATCGAAAGTATGTGGTCACAATTTAATATTCATAACAAGCTAGGGTTTCCAAAAAATAGACGGAATGGTAATGAAAACCCTAACGATCCAATCCGCACTCGCTATTGGGCACCAAAACAAACACAAAACCCCTTAAATTAACATCAAAAGTATCATTTCATGAATCAATTCTGATTAAAAACCCTAGGTGTTGACAGGATTGGATCGCAACATTTGGTTGAGATCTATCGATCCCTTGGGATCTTGTGGTGGAAATCGAGGACTGGGTTTATCGATTACCTGCTTGGATCGGGTGAGGACGCGAGAAGCCAACGCCATGGCCGAGAGGATTTCTTCTACTTCTTCCCCCTTTTTCCTGCGTTCGACAAAATGAGCGAGTGATCTTTGGTAGCCCTCACCGAGAGGAGTAATATGGCGAGCTTGGGCCTCAATCGGGTTTGGGTTATCGGAGTTTAACCCAAATCCGAGTTGATTTGGCCCGACCCGCAAGGAAAATAGAAGGCCAAGCCCGCATTCCTTAAGAGCATCTCCGACAGCTTCTCTAAAATTTTCTCCAAAATAGGGAAGCAAAAGTCATATTCTTCAAATTATTTTTACAACAACTCCAACAGCTTATCCATTTTAAGAATCCATTTTTTCCTCAAAAAATTTAGAGAATGCTGCAGATTTGGGGAAGTTTCCCCATTTTTTCTCCTCCATCCCTATTTTGGGGAATGAGATGGGAATCTGTTGGACCAAAAATTTAACTAAATTCTTCAAAAATGGAAAATGGGGAAGCTGTTGGAGATGCTCTAACAGCCTTTTTGATGATTGGTAGTCTTTGTACGAGAACTCTATGGCCTAAGACAGTTCAATAATTGTAATCTATTATCTACTGCTAGGGTTTTAATACACACGCACAAATGTTGAAAAATGCATTTAACCATCGATATTAATGATCCACATAGTTTATTGTGATCTATGCATTTAAAACTTCGTCGAGGTCAAAAAAATCACATAGATTCAATATTTCTATTTGATTCTTCTAATAACTTAGAAATAAACGGTTTGTAATAGTCTCAAATGTCAATTATTTTTGGGTTGCTTGAATTGTGGGATAAAAAATTCCAACCACACGATTTTTAATCCATTTAGATTTTATGACATGTAAATGACAACGGACATGTGGATTTACAATATAGAAGGATGAAATTGTATTTTTGTAGGTGTGTATAAATATGTTAGTTACAACATATGTGTATTTTAACCGTACACATTATCTATTACTATTATTTAAGAAAAATTACACTTTCGGTTATACCCTTATGTATACTAAGATTTCAAAATTTCAACATATAACATCAATAATTTATTGTACACTGAAACTAATTAGATGGACAAATTTGAAAATATCTAAAGACAACATAACTATCATCCGTTACTTGATAACTTCTCCCAATCCCCACATTTTCTTATAACAATATACTTTGTACCACTTTTGGCAATAATTTTTTATTCATATCAGTATTGATTAATTAAGATGTTTAAAATATATATAATTCACACGTTACATACACCGAAGAACGATATCATATTAAATAAATTTGAGGTATCAATGAGTATTGTTTCGTATATATGTATGAACACACATACATACACTAGGTTTTATGCACCTACAATGCATATGGTTAAATATCATAATTAAGTGGTTTTGATTTATTTCCTTACTAAAATTTGTTCATCGGTTTCATTTTGATAATTTTTACTCTCTTATGACTCTAAACTTTAGCATTGTGATTACATTTTTTTTTTGAAAATGCTACACCGAATTTAAATTTTTGTATTAATAATTAAATTGACAGGAAACAAATATAATCCAAAACCCATTTGATTGTTTATTTTATTTGGACTGACATGAAACCAAGCTTGACTTGAAAGTATAGTGTTGTAAAAGTTAAAAACAATTGAAAAAATAGTGTTATAAAAGAAATACGAATAATTAAGACTAATAAGCCAAGATGATCGATTAAAAATGATCTAGAATGAAATTAAAGAGAATATAAAATTTATTTCTAATCATTGATAGACTTCGTTAAAAATCACAAGCTAAATAATAATGCTAACTCTAATATACTTTTATATAATAAAAGCATCTACATAAGTATATAAAAGTACTAAAAACTTCATAAAGAATCCTTCCAAAGATTCCTTATTTTACTCAAAAAAATTAAACTATTCTATAAAATATCCAGAAAGCAATAATGTATTTTATTCCATTTCTTTTTTTTAGATTAATCATTCTCCATCTTAAACTTTTTCCTAGACAATTCTAGAGTTGTGTCTTCATCGTCTACATCAATCGTGACATTATGTTGGAGCTGGATTTCTTGTGCTATTTTCATTCCCTACGCTCGTCCATCTTTTATCTTCTTATTTTACATCATAAAAAAGTTAAATGTATTTATGATGTTTAACGCAAACTTCTAGAAATACGGACTTTTATTATTTTTCCTTTTTAATGAGAATAAATATTAATTTTATATATATGAAATTTTTTTGTTTCTAATTTACTACTTTAGCAAGATTAGATGTTACCTCTTTTTTCTTTGTAATGAATTCTTCTACTATGCATCCTATAAAAGTTTATGCTACATCAAATAATGTTACTTTTGCTCTGTTTGTGTCATTTTCCATGAAGATCTTAACTAAATAATTGCATTTTTTTATTGGCAATGTACCTTAGATTATAATGTTAATATTTGATTTTGATATGTTTATTTTATGAAAAGAGATATTACTTGATCTTGATACTATGTCATTGGCTATTCTATGACATTTATGATTTGGGCACTCTTATTAACATCTCTATCCACCTTATTGTTACAGCCTTTTTAAGCATAGAACCGGGGCTCAACTCTATTGTAAATACTACTTATCTTTGCATTATAGGTGCAATAGCCCGCCTATATATTGATAAACTATTTTTAAATTTAATTGTATGAATTTTAGAGTAGGTATTGTAAGATCATACCTTTTTTGAATGTCGTGATGATTGCATATGACAGTAATCTGAATTTATGTTGTATTTGTAAAGAATCTTAGCGGAGATTTTTTTTGTCTTGGCGGTGAGCCCAACATATTAGTTTTAAAACGTAACATTTTTTCTTTATTGTGTTATATGCATGCTTGCTTGATTTACTTACTAATCTCTTATTTTTCCAATAATTTGTATCTTTCCGGGCGTGTGTGCCTCTACACACACACGCACTATACTATATATATATATATATATGCATTATACTATATATATATATATATATATATCATATATATTATGATATCATATATATATATATATTATCATATATATATATATATATATATATATAGTATATAGTATCTATATATCATTTGAGATTAATGCGGCCGTACCTTCGTCCATAGGAGGGGATCTTCCTCCATATGCACGCCTCTAACAATCACATGATGAGCGACATTATGCCCGATGATTCGCTCCGTTGGAACTTGATCTACATAATCTCTAAACTCCAACACATTCACAAGCTTAGCGGCTGAATCAGTCGTCGTTTGACCCTTCCATCGAAGCCATGCTGGAAAAAGTTCTCATTCATCAAAAACCGTCCATTAAAATTGATACGAGGTGCATGATAGGGTAACAACGGACGCACTGGCATTCACCCCACAGATCTTCGACTGTGTTGCGGGTTTTAGAATATGCCTAGATCAAGTTCAAATGCCGCAGCGGCTCATCCATAATATCGCTCGCGAATTCATGCTGATTTTAGGAGGCCCCGTCAAGGCGGCAGGAAGATCCCCTCCTATGACTCAATGGCATACACCCATTAATCTCTCTTGCTCTCTCTCTCTCTCTCTCTCTATATATATACTATATATATATATATATATATATATATATATATATACATATATATACTATATAGGGAGAGTTCTAATAAAAACCTAGAGCCAACTCAAAACCAATTCTAACCCTGATCCAAATCTATGCTAATCAATGGACCTACATCCTTCGACTGGCAGAATATATAAAGTACTTAGACAATTTAATTACACATCATTATATGTGAAAAGCGGTTAAAATTAGAACAATTCACTACATTAATGGTGCGCTGGGCAATATTAGAAACCAAAAATTACAACACGTGGAACCAATTCACTACATAATGCCGTGGCCTCGGCAACATTAAATGTGCCTTCTCTGTTGAGTTTCTCCATTTCCACCATTTCCTCTCTCTTAACTCACTCTCCTGCTCTCCCTGGTAACTCACTTCCGCATCTTCTATCAAGCTTTGATCTGCCATCTTCGCCATGAGAGCAACACAGCCAAACATATTTCATTAAAAATCATTACCTAACCATCCAAGCTTTTTCGCCTGGAGGTGGAATCTGCCGCATTCACTCCACGTGAATCTGGATTCACTCCATTGAATCTGGCATTATATTTGCAGCTCGGAGTTCATGCGAGCTGAATCCCAGATTCACTGAATTGAATCCAGGCTTCAGTCGACTGAAACTCGTTATCAAAACATAGCCCAAATCTTGGCAAAATAAAAAACAAAAGAATAAGAAACGTATTGGTAAAAAACAAGCTATAAATTTTAAACCATTTGCATAAGATTTCACATTTTACGAGCAAAAGTTTAACGCCATTTTTATGGCGCCTAAAAAACAAACACCTTCACATAACTGAATCTGGATTCACTGCAGCTGAATCTAAGCATTCGACTCGTGGTTCTTCACGTTTATTTTTTCCCAAAATTACAGCCACATCGGCATTTAATGTTCTTTCAATAATTCATTAAAAATTATTACCTAACCATCCAAGCCTTTCGGCCTGGAGTGAATTCTGGCATATCACTCCAGTGAATCTGCGATTTTCACCTCCAGTTGAATCTGATCTATATTGAAGAATAAGAAACTGCTATTGGTACAAAACAAGCCCTGATGAAAATTTTAAAACAAAAATAATAAAAAACCTTATGACGTATAAAAAAAACAAGCCTATAAAATTTTAAACCATTAAAAGAATTTCATCTTTTACAGCAAAAAATTACGATTTTTTATGCCGGGTAAAAAACACAAACAACCTCACATAGTGAATCTGGATTCACTTATGCCTGTCTTTCGTTTTTCAAACTGCGTTCTTTCACAAATACAAAACAACTTTTCAGGACTCAAAAGCGTAACAGATATTTCACCTTGTTACAATCAAAAAAAGCCTAGCGATCTTTAAGGGATTAAAACTAAAACTCTTTTAGCGTATCGCAAAAATCAATAACAGAATTTTATAAAGCTACCCAGTTTAAAGCGTCAAAAGTAATTAACAGCCCACTGATATCATTGAAGCACGAAGTCGTGCAAGGCAAGACGCGTGAGAGACGAAGGCGTCAAAATAATTTCATTAAAC